TTTTAGATCCCAGTCACTGCCCTCAGAAACACAACGGAGCCATGAGGTGATCAGTGGCCCGAGAAGGGGAACTATTACACAAACAATGCTGAGGAGTATTTGTTAAAGACAGGAATCAAGGTGTCTCTTAAGGAAACTTTACAAATGAAAGGAAGATTTTCATTCACTGTGTCAGTAGTTTTTGGTAGAATTCTAAGTCTGAAAATATTTGGGGATCAAAAATCAAAGATGGCAAAGAAGACTGAGACCTGCACAGTGCACTTCACTGCCAATCACTGTCAACCGTATGGTTTACAGTGTGATTTTTAACCCAAGTTGTTTTACGTAATGATCCCATTTGGAGACCCAGCTTCTGTCGATCCTCAGCACCTTGCACCATGTTTCGCTAGCACAGAGGAAGTGGTCGCGCTCTCTATGGCTTACCACAGCCCCTCCCACGCCCTAAGACCCAGTCTGCTTTGCTGACTTACAATATGCGTCTGTGTGTCGTAAGCCTTTCAGTTATATATATTTCTGCTCCAGGGCAGAGAATCATATGCACACATTTATTCTTTAGCAGACACAGAGTTCAGCAAATTTAAGTAACACTCCAATTTGAGGGAAGGGAAGCCAAGTTTATGAACACTAATTCTAATTTATCTCTTCGTTTCACTTAGAATTTTCCTCCATTGTTTCCCATCATCATTACAACATCCCAAAAGGTTTTTGGCATTATTTGAGTTAAAAGTTATCATATTTGCGTTAAAAGGCCATAAAGGTCTGATAAAGAAAGGTTTTCTATAAATCTACATTTAAAATAATTAAAACAGCCTAATGGAAAGCACATTGAATCAGGAAACAGAAACCTGGGATCTTACTGGAAACTTCCCCCTGATAAACTCTATGGCATGAAATAATCCACTTAAACGCTCTTTACCTTTTAAAAGCCATAAATAAGAGATAATAATACTTGCCTCTTCTGCCTCACCAGGATTTTGTAATAACCGTAAATCAGAAGACATTTGAATCTGCAGAAGAAATAAATTCTGTAAAGACCATGATACAGTATTAGATAGAAAATAAATATTCAAGTGTTATTCAAAGTGAACTTTATGAAAAGGAAACTGTACATAGTATCATTGGACAATATGTGGTACCCCAATGTGTCCTGTATGTGAGTAGTAATTCCAGCAATACATAATTATATCTAAGTGATGAGATTGGAGTAGTGTTTTGCCCTACAACTTATACCAATTTTTTTAATGTCCCCTATGATAAACATATGTTTGCTATGTAATAAAAAAATACATAGCAAATAATACTAAAAAAAAAAACAGATGTTGAGGAAAAAATAAAGTGCCCTAATTTTCAATTTTTTTAAAAGATTTATTTATTTATTCATATGGAACCGGGGTACAGGCGAGAGATGCGGAGGGTGAGAGGATTCACCAGAGACAGAGTGGGGAGCAGAACGGGCAGATCGACGAAGCACACTGCTGAGGGGAGCAGCAGGCAGGTCAGGAGAGGTCTGTCTCGCCATGTGGATCTCCTCAGGGCAGGCGGGGATCGAACTCATGCGGAAGTGGCTTCAGCCTCTTAGTGCTGTGCTTTAACCCGCTGCGCCACTAGGGAGGGCACTAATTTTCAATTTTAATAGACTTGAATAACCATAAACTTCTACTACAACAATTTCTTAAATGTTTTATGGTTTGTGTATTTCTTATGTCAGAAGCCCAAAAACTAGAAAACTCTTGGAAAACACATCATATTGCTAGCAGCAAACTTGACTGGTCAAAGTGAAGTGTAATTAGCTGTTTTCTGTCTTCCTTTTCCTAGTATCCATCTGACCAGAGTCAATTAAGCAGACAGACCCACTGACTATAGGAAGTTTAACTCTTTGATTCCCCCTTTTTTATAGATGAGCCAGGTATAATTTTCTGTGGGGTTTCTAATTGCTAACATCGTCTAGTAACTTTATGATTTGTAGATCATTGTAAGCCCCTGGTTTTAACTGCAAGTGATATTGCTCCCCAAGAGGACATCTTACTATATCTGGACACATTTTCTACTCTCAAACTGGAGGAGTGATGCTACTGGCATCTAGTGGGGAGAGGCCAGGGATGCTACCGAATACCAGACAATGTTCTAGACAGCCACACAACAAAGAATGAGTCTCTATGGGATTGAGACTTGCTCAAATGAAAAATAACCTAAGTTCATATACAGTGCATGTCATAAAGTTCTTTATGACATCATAGGGAGAAAGGTTATCAACTGTGCCTAAAAATCAAAATGGAAGCAGCCCATCTAACAAATATAAATGACCTGTTCAAGTACTAGTCTTCTTCATAGTATTGCTCACTCTAAAATGAGGTTACTGCTACTTAAAAGCCCATGTATGTGAACTCTTTAACCAGTGACATTTCAGAAGGAAAATCTGAGAGTTGTGAAGAGCTTGGTGTATTTACATTTCTTTCTACCAAAGAAGATGAGAGAGAGAATGAGCAAAATGCTTTGCTGGAATAAAATAAAACCCACACCCATAATGTCAAATATGCTGACAAGATATCCATTGCTTGAAATTCAGAAAGAAAAATACTGTCAACAAGAAATGTGGAAGCTCTCAGGGTAGTACAAAAAAAAAAAAGAGGAAAAATCTTATTCTGAAAAATACAGCCTTAACAAAGGAGAGAAACTCCACTGGAATTTTAAAAACACTAAGGTTGAAGTAGAACAAAAGCAAGTAGATGTATTTAGACATGAATGCTGTAACTGCCTTTGAAAATCAGTCTCCAGAAATATCTCTAATTAGGCAAATAAAGGGATTTTCGATGCATTCTCAGATTACTGTGGATTATTGTTCCTTTTTTTGTTTGCAAACAGTATAAGAGAAAATGGTAATACTGCAAAAAAATATAAGTCAAGGAATTATTCAAGATCAAAATGAGCAAGTTATTTTTGGTGGTGAAAATTTTTAAAAATACTATCACTAATCTACCTAGAGATAAATTCTAAAATAAGAACTGGAAAAGGAGAACAAGAGAAGACATGTGGGGCCTTTGCCTTCATTGTCTTTGAGTGAAATCCTTGATATCCATTATTAATATGTTGTGTTCACAATAGTCACTATAATCTAAATTCATTTGCCTGATTATTCCCTTTTTGACCCACAGGTCACAGAGCATTCTATTTATAATTCTGGTTCAGGAAGAAATTTAAGGAGGGCAAGAATGCAAATAGCTTCATTGCTCCTTTGATTAACAAGCTGACTTGGGCCTCCAAACCCCTGACCTCTCTCAGTGGAGTTGATGCAGAGAGAGGGAGCTGGACATTCCAGAGAGATCTGGGCAGAATGCTGGCCAAGTAGATGGCACTGGCGCTCATGGAACTCAAATACCCGACCCTGAGAGAAAAAATAGATATAAGGACTAATGAAATCTTAATAAAATCCAGTTCTGACTACCACAGAGCCACTAGTTCTGGGGAAGGTCCAAAAAGGGACATGTGTGACATCTGAAATCATCGTCTCTCCAGGCAAGGCTTATTGCCTTACTCTGACTGATACCAACTTGAGAGTCCATCTACACTTCACGGCATTCAGCCCACAGAGCTGCTTCTCCCAGCCTGCAAAGGCATCTTAGCCGCTCCCTTTGCCCCCAGGGGGTTATTTCTGTGGCCCAGTCAAAGATGTCAAAACCAACACAGGCAAAATATCCAAGGAGGCAAGGTGGAGGGGTGGAGGAGAAGACCACGGAAGCACTCATGAAAACATGTGGGGGGGGGGGGGGGGGGGAGTGAAGCTACAGACCCTGTGCTACTTCTAAATAAACAATTGGAAATACTATATTACAGGAGCTGAGCTTTACTAAGTGTTTACTAAATGTAGAGTTCTTTCTAGACACTAAGATAGGTTCATATAAAATATAAACATACTGGTAAATATAATATGATAACAGTATAATAAATATATTAACTGAATCTCTACATTAGCCCTCTGTAATTTGTACCATCACCCCACTTGACGAACAAAGAAGCCGAGTTCATGTCCCTGGTTACACAGGAAGTAAGGGCAGACCTGGAAGAGAAATCCAAGGGAAGTGTGTAGCCTGTCCCTGCAGTTCCCAGCCCACTACCTCGCACTGACAGCTGTGGTTACATCCTGTGCTTTAGAGAGAAACCAAGATTCAGAAAGCCTGCATGACCACTAATAAGCCACAACCAAAGGAGAATTTGAGTGTCTAACAGTCCTGATAGGTTTTCTGTCCCAATGGTCACATTTATCCAAATATTTTGATGAAATATCCCTGGCACCAAGTCCAGCTCAGTGGGTACATTAACTTGACTAAATAGAAAACAAAACACAAATGAAGATAACATATGCCCTTTACATCAGTTAGGTTTTTCTCTAATTATTTTGTGTCAATGAAAACCCTTTAGAGCAGGAGCCTGTATTTCATTTGTAAAAGTTCTAGTAGATTGACATAATTTTCAAGTATGCTTGAAAGTTACTGGTAAGATGAGTCACTCAAGCTTTCTATCAATCAACTCCCTTTTATTGAATGTCTACTACTGTAGATGAAGGGGCCTAAGGAAAACTCCCTAGCTTTCATTTAATGGTAACACGATCATTGTAAATACCTTCAAACTCAAATACTCCTCTTTCCACATATCAAAAGAACTTGATCCTACTTGGGGTGGCAAAGTGCCCAGTCACAAATCATCCCCTCTCCCAGATGGCCAAACTGGGCTGGCTAGTTACAGATGGAAGCAAACCCCTAGGAGGAGCAAATCTCCACAAGCCTCTGCCTCCTCCCCCACCTTTGTGCCCATATTCTCCCATCTGAAGCATAAACACAGGCCTGGTGCTGGAGCCCAGGTGACTGTCTGGCACAGGCATCTGCTTTGGATCACCCACCCAGATTCCTGCCTTCTTTGTCAAAGTCAGCGAATGCAGGTCTCGCTGCCATGCCACCGAACGTAATCCTGGTGTTGGTCGTTGCTTACTGGTTTTGAGAGCCACATGTCTTCTAATTCTGCATCTATGGCCCCAGGCAGAGATAAGAGAAAAGAGGGAAGAAAAACTAAGATGCAAAAAAGCATTACTAATTGTCCATTACGTAACTTTTACAGGTTTGATTATTTTTGGAAGTCTTTGGAAAGAAAACAGATTTGTTTTAAGATTTTTTTTCCTGCAACATCCTCCCATCTGTTTATTTTTTTACACCTTACTTTGATGAAATTGCTGTTCATGTTAACTTCCTCTTCAAATATGGGGCTTTTGAATGATCTCTCACTAGACTTTTTCAGTCAATTTTAATTACCATTTCTTGCTCCAAAACTAAAAACTACCATAACATAGGATCTTCTAGACTATATTGGATTTGAAACATCATGTAGTTTACTGTTAGAGTTGAAATCTTTGTCACTCCTAAATCATACTTGTTCCACAAAAAAGGAGTCGATTGAAATAACTGCTCAAAAAGGATCGCTAAAGGAATTCAACATGTCCTTTCAGAAGTTCAAAAGGTACCCTAGTAATTACTGAGTTAGGCTTAGAGCATAAGCAAAAATATTTAAGCCAAGCTCAATATTTTTTAACACTATACATTTTTTTACTTCACTGAGATTTAAAAAGGTTAGATTTCATGTTCTTTAAAAATAAAGTTGCTTTGTCCACAAATATCTGTGAAGTCTGCCATCACCATTATTTATAAATCTCAAGTGAAAATATCAGCTCATTATGCATAGTGGCCTTATTATTGAAAGAAAAGTTGGTTTGGGCTTAGGCATTAGAAGATTGCTTTATTTACCCTGAACATCAACACCCTCAACCATTTTAGTGTGTGGGCCTAACTTTTAACTTGGTCATAGGAAAAAACATTCTAAAATAAACTTACTAAACTCAGGAAATACTTGCCTGGTATTTATTCAAGTTCTACAAACTCAAAAACAACGAGGAGTGGAAGTGTGGCCTTGACGAATGGCTGAGTAGCTTGGAAAATTTGTTTTCTAAGACCATTTCTGCCTTTCTGGTCCCTAAATGGCGAATATCTCTTCAATATATATGGCTCCCCAAACTCCACTCTCTCCACTGTCAGGATTTGGGATTTTTTCTCCTGTTCCACCTCTTCCCTCCTAATCTCTAACTAGAACCCTTTCATTTCTGCCTGAAAACTTCATCACCCACTTCTCTGTCCCTCCTGACTTAGGGAGCGGCTCACAAGGTCATTCATGATCAGGTCTCAAGTATCTTTTCTGGCGTCATAGCCTAAAAGGTTGACTCTTCCTGGGTGAAGGCTATCCTGAAACAGGAAGTTTCCCAGGTCTGCTTAGGTTTTGCTTACATTCCCAGGCCTGTTGTTTGGGAGAGGCTGTTGCTTGGATTCTGCTGCTCGCTGGAGTAGAAAGTGTGTTGCTGCCCATGGTAGTAGCTGGGCTACCTTGACCAGCTTCCCAAACAATCAAGAATGTTCATGCTATGATGGATGAGATGACAATGTTCCTCATACAACCTATATAAAACCTCACCATTCTTGTAATTTGGGGCTCAGCCTTTAAGACTGATCCCACTGAGGGTATGACAAGTAAATCTCTCTCTTCACTTCTCTGAATGCCATCTGATTTCCCTGGGTAATTGCTGCAAAAACCCAGCTCCACTTGAGTTCCTACCCCCCCTGAGCTCCCAGGCTAGGTATTCTTCCCCTGGATTCTTTTCCCATTTAACATCTTCAAGTAGTGAACAACTTGAGGACAAAAACACCTTTTGCCTATATGGTCAGGGCCTAGCAGCCCTGGTCAGTAGCAGTCTCAAAAAAAAAGAAAATTTGATGTCACAAGAATGAATGACCCATACATAGCCAGTTGCTTCACTCCAGTGCCTGGCTCTGGCCCTCCACCTGCTAAAAGTTACCCCCTGTGCCAAAGCAGGAAAATGAGGTTAATGGAGCTGCTCTCCTGAAAAAGGAAATAATGCTAGTTAGCCAGGGGGGGTGTGCTGAGGCTCCAGGCAGTAGGGAACATGCCTGAAGGCAGAAAGGGAGCTTGCAAGCTGGCCCTTGCTGTCCCCACAGGCACCTGTCTTCGCCATCACAGCCACTGCCCTCCTCCAGCCCTCCTCTCTATCACTGAGTCAGCCCTCTTGAAACTGTGTGCTCATCTTTGAATCACCCTCTCCTTTTTGCCTGACAAGACCTGAATTTCCCTTCCAAAGACAACAGAGAGGCAAAGGGTTCTGAGACTGACTTCCCGGAGCTAGAGCTGCATCTGCTGTTGAGTATGGTCAGGCCCAGCTTCCAGTACCGAGCCGGAGCCACAGAAGCTCCTCAGGATGCAGGTCTGGAACATACCCTGAGAAAGGGAAGGACTAAGAAGGAAAATATCTGCTAGCAGGCAGGTTCTGGAAGCCCAGATTGTGGAGGCCCGGAATAGAAAGGTAGATCTTTTTCCTCTGGAGTTATTTGCTTCAGACACATAATTGGGGAGGAAGTGTTAAAATCAGACATCTGCTTATTAATCATATCCATCTCTTCATCTCTATTCCCACTCACTGACTTTCTTCATTCATACTGGTGTGATAAGTGGCTTGTGGTGAGGAAATAAAAACCAGCATCCTTTTATTGGTGTGAAAGGAGGGAGGGGCCTAGAAATGGCACTGGAGAGGGAAATGAATGGCAGCTCATCCAGGACCTTGTGACGCAAGAGTGTGGATTTTACACAGGAAGTTTAATCAAGAGAACAATGTGATCAGATGTGTTCTTGAAAAAGTTCCTCTGACTGCAGAGTGTAGTTTGGAGGGGAGTAAGGTGGAAAGCAGAAAATAATGGGGGCTTGGAATTAGCATAGGACAAGTGGCATGGATGGAATCAAGCAAGAAAGGCAGGAACACAGAGATGAGGTTGGCATCCTGTATATTATGGAGAATGGCTCCAGAAATAATCAGTCCTCCAGCTGGATTTCCCTGCACCTGTGTAGGGCAACTGCGGATTGCTGAGGCTCTTGTGCTGTTGGCCTCTGTGGCCTTACCTGCCGCCTTGAGTGCAGGAGGCGCTTGGGAGCCTGGGCTCGGGGTACACATTCCCGATGGTGGACGCCTGGAGGAAGGTGTGGGTGTGCGTCAGTGGGCACGGTGAGCCAGGAGGCTGAGCATTTAAGGGCAGCATCACAGAGAACAGACTGGAGGCATGAAGCAGAGAAAGACCACGCAAATACTGGAGGGAGTGAAGATTAACCAGGAGTGGCCTGGCAGCCTCCGGGCCACCCAGCTCCCTGCCTGCCCTGCACCACAAGGGGGGTAGAAAGATCATTCAAAGCCTGCAAACGCCACTGAGTACTCCAGGACTTTCCTTCACCTACCTGCCCAGATCACAGAGAACACACCTGTGCCTTCTCAGCATACGCTGTCCTTTTTCCCTTCCAGTGAACCCTGAGCGCCAGGTGAGCCTCTCCTGAATACCGCTCATCAGGTGGAACACCAGACATCCTACTAATTGACTGCATTGGCTCAAAGCCAAATGACCCGGTTCAAATCCTACCTCAGCCTCTTAGTGAGCCCATTTCCTCATCTACAATATGGAATACTGAAAATAATGTTGACATCACAGGGTTGCTGAGTTCATTTTTGCAAGCGCACTTACAGCATTATCTGTGTACAGTGGTCCTTCAATAAAAGGTTAATTACTTCTGTGTCATTCCCCCACCGGAAATCCGCAATGAGATGCTTCTGTTTCTATTTGCTGGAATTCAAGAGGTGCCTCCCAGACCCTGCATCATTCTGGAGTACCACAACCTCCACCTCACTTAATTCTCCCCCATGAATATGTCCCAAATACACCAGGCATGCGACACATACACTGGTCATGCTGTTTCCCTCATTTGAAACGCCCTTTCCACATCTACACACTCCATCTTCTGTCTCTTAAAGGCTCATCACCACTTCTAGAAAGATGACTCCAGAGGGTCTGACGACCAGACCCTCTGCAGTCATTGTCCCCTAAGCAGGACAGTGTGTCACCACTCCCACCCCCCAGGAGGCTCTCATTCCAAACAAATCACAAAGCCACTCACTCATACCTGCCACTTGTACCTGAATGCTCAGCACTCACCAAAAGCCAAGAACACAACACTTATCTTTTTCATGCTTCATGGAGCAGCATGGATGCCCCAGAAGCCCATAAATAAAAAATAACTTTGGTATGAGTTAAGTTTTCATCAGGACTATCTGCTATGAAATATTTAACGACTCTCTTGGGTTATTAAACCCAAACCATTGTTGTGTGTTGAAAAGAGAGAGAATCAAAAGTATATGAACTAATTGACCAAAATCAGTTTTAGGGGAAGCGAAGTCTTAGCCAAAACAAGACTTCCTAAAGCACATGCATCCTTCTGCACCTCGTTCCCCTGTCTTGACACACTTACTGAAGTATGAATGATGAACAATAGACTTCACTATCTCCAGTTTTCTTAGCCACAATGCTTTGCAATAACCAGCATTTGTAGAGGGGTCTTTAAAACTCTCTTGCATCTTCACACAAGATGCTGTAATTTTATGATCCAAGTTTGTATTCAGTGAGGCTTTCCACACCTGTAAGTTACTAGAAATTCCCCTTGGTTGGGAAAATGTGTTCCAGGATTTGAAATTCAGAAACCCAAATGATTTCCCTTTCAATGAAAAGTGATAGCTTTGCATTTTAAATCCAGGACATTGCAGGCACTTGATTTGCTTTTGACTAGAAAGAAAAGATGTTCTCTAAATTGGGTCCCTCAGAGGCTATCACCTCTCCATAGATTGCATGTAGTTTGGTGGAGTGTTGAGGGACAGAGAACTCCTTTGCATGTTCGCAGAGAGGTTAAGAGCCAGATGGAGCAGCACTAACCACCAGACCTCCACAAGTGTTTCTATTTTACTGCTTCCTTTATTCAACCAACATTTACGAGTCCCCGCTTTTTAGTGGACCGGGTGGCCCTGCCCCAGCTTACAAGTTATTTTGAGATATAAAATACAATTGTCAGACCCAGCAGGCAGCTGCATCTATGAACCACA